ACGACAGCCATGACTGTTGGACAAACTGCTGTGAAGGGGTCCAGAGCATGGAATGCCTCCTCTCCTTGGGCTTCTTTCTTCCCGATCCACTTGAGCGGCTGTGCCAGTTAAAGTCGCTGTGTGTGTGTGTTTTTTTTAGAGCGCTATTTATTTCCCTTTGTAGATCTTAGAACATAAATACTTAAAATGGTATTATCCAAAAAGTTATTTATGTGACAATGGCAAAAGAAACATGAGGTCAGGAATCGAAGGCAGAGTACAGTAACGTTCCCTGCTCTGGTTTCGGTTTCTGTTCCTAAGTCACTGCTCCTGCAAACGTGCCAAGAGCCTCATAAAGATCCAGATGCAGTTTTGATCAGATAAGTTCACGGTTTTCACATTGGTCTAATGGAATAAAATGAACTAATGAAAAAAATGAAATTTTAAAGTGAGCAGGCAATATCTTCATCAGTGATATAGTGGAAAATCTATTCAATTGAAAACATGCCTTAGATTAAGGGTAATGGATTTTTTACGGTCATCAGTGAGTTCACTACAGATAACATTCTTCTAAAAATTGAATCCATATATTTCTCAGTGGTGTAAAATTTCAACAGAACATGTACCATCCAGGGGACATGTGCTTCAGGAAAGAGCATACCGAAGCAGGCCACAGGGGTACGCGACAGGCAAGCCGCCCTTGTCTTTACACTTTCATTGCAGCAGAGCACAGAGAATGACAAAGTAAAACTGCGGAGTTAAAAACATGAAACCAAGCTGTTTTATCTTTCTGTGGTGCCGGTTATTAACACTTCAGTATAAAAGCAGCTGCCTCGGGCTCTGCCTGAGCTCCTCCCCGGTGCCCTCCTAGCTGTCCGGTGAGTCAGGCTCAGTTACGCTGATGGGGATTTACTTAAACAAGCAGCGCTGAGTCAAAAGGGCTGCTCGTGCTCCACTTCTCAAATTTGCAATATCCAGGACGGGCTCTTTCGATGCCTGTTTTGGAAGTAGAAAATGAGACACAGACACGTTCTTGCCCTAACGCTCTTTCGGTGCAGCACTCCAGGGTGTTGGAGAGAGAAACGATGTCACGTGGTCACTTAGTGCACCTTCCTGCCGTCCGAGCAACTTAGAGATTACAGGGCAAAAGTGCTCATATTTTGTTACCACTTGATTTTACTTTTAAAGGGTATATTTCTAACTAACAAAATACAATTTGCCCACTATAGACAATATCAACAAAAAATAAATCTTTCAAAGTTCACCCATTAAAACATGAGCTCAAGGGCCAGGGATATAGCTCAGTGGCACAGTGCCTGCCTGGCAAACATGAGGTCATGAGTTCAACTCCTGGTACCACAAAAATAAATAAATGAATAAAAGGTAAGCTTTCTTCCAGCTTGGCACCTTCCTTTCCTTTTTGAACATATTTAGTTGGATTTATTCACTTAGGGATTATACTTAGTTGAAATGTCTATATCATTTTTTAAATTTTTATGTCATTAAAAATTAGTTATAGGACTGGGGCAATAGCTCAGAGTCCTAAGTGCTTGCCTGGCAAGTGCAAGAACCTGGATTGGATTTGATCCATGGTAACGCATGCCATGCTGGTTTCCAAACCCAGCATGGTGACACAAGCCTGTAATCTCAGTGTTGGGGAGGCTGGAAAACATGAGAATCACTATGAGTCCAAGCTACATAACAAGACCCTCTATTAAACAAACAGATAAATAATTTAAAAAACAAAAAATAGTTATAAACATATTTTGATTCCTTTTTTAGGGCCACCATACGTAAGCTATGTAACCACATGTCCACCATAGCACTGGCACTGGTTATTTCCATTTTCTTGCCATGAATTATATCTGGTGTATAGACACAAAGAATGCCTGTGCATACAAATTTTTATTTCTGACAATTCACAAAGTGGAAGCAGAGGCCGGGGGTGAATGTCACATAGTTTAGGGATCTTGCTCCCTCTAGCTAATTCATTTTCAGAAAGGTTGACTCAATATAACTCATCTTCTATGAGAATAAGTGCACCCTGTCGACAATTATATTTTACCTCCTCGTGAATGTTCCTAATAAGACTGATACAACTTCTTGGAGTTCACCAATTCCGAGATGCACATTTCTCACAGTCCAGTGTAACCTGAACTAGGGACAGGCATGTATTACAACCCAAGACGTGTCCTGATTTACTTAGCTCTTTTTTTTTTTTTTTTTTTTGGAACCGGGGATTGAACTCAGAACCTTGCACTTGCCAGGGAAGTGCTTATTCTACTAAGCCATCTCCCCCGCCCCAGTAGCTCTTTTTTTAAAAAATGGTTCTTGCAAATAATAATGCATCCCACGATGACTGGCATCTTGGGAGTCCCTGAACCACAGCAGCCCCACTTAATTTTTAGCTTGTAGTTTCAGACTAGTAGCAGACAGCCAAGATGTATATAGAACCATATCCATACGTTTTAACGCCCTAATAAAATTCCTAAAAATTCAAAAATTGTTGTTAACCTCTCATAACATAAAATTTACCACCTTAACCATACTTTAGCACGCAGCTAGCTAGGGTCTGCCACGTTCACTGCAGTGCGGCTGAGCGCTAGAACCCGTCACCCTGCTAGCCGGACTCCACCCGCATTAAACTGCAACTCCAGATTCTTCCTCCTTCAGTGCCGGGCGACCGGCACGTCTTCCTGTTTCTACGGGCCTGAGTACATGAAAAAAAAGTCAGCCTCTCTGGCGGGGAGAGAAATGCAAATTATAATAGCACCGAGATTCATCTCACTCCGGAAAGATTGGCCACCACGGAGAAACCGGAGGGTGGCAAGCGCTGGCGGGGCTCTGGGGAAAAGGAACCGTGCTATGGAGAACATAAACTAGCGCAGCCACGGAGGAAGTCAGTACCGTGACGCCCCAGAAAGCTGAGACTAGAAACCGCGTTCGACGCGGCCGCGCTTCTAGACGTGGCCCTTAGACGGTACCGACACCCGCACGCACGCAGGCGGGTCCGGGCGCGGCCGGTGTGTCCGCCGACAGAGGAGCGCACGCACGCGGGGTTGCGCACCGCGGAGTACCGCGGGGCCGGAGCCGGAGGTCACTCGGGTCGTTTGTAGGGAAACAGGCGCAACCCGAGGCCAGAGGGTTACAGGAGCTAAGCCAGGCACACGGGCTCACGCATGCGTGGCTTCTCTTCTGCGGGAACCCGAAGAGTAATTTAAGGATCCAGATAAAAGACAGCTAATAGGGGAAAGGGAGAGAGATCTTCTGAAGATGGGAAGGCGTCTGAGAGATGAGGAGGGAGAGGACAGGGTGAGATAAGGAGGGAGAAAGAGTAGAGGGTGCGTGTGCCAGCGCCCGCCTTCCACGAGGAATCAGGTTGCCGCGTCCTAAAGGGTGCGGCTCGAGACCACGCTCAGAGGCGAAACGCACCAGACGCGCGTGCGCGAGCACGGAGCACGTCCTGCCCTCGGCTGGGCTAAGAACCCGACAGGGTGAGCGCAAGGTGCGCAGACACTGTGAAAGGGCGCCGTGAAACTGCTCAGGGGGAAGGAGAAAAAAAGAAAAGGGAAAATAATATACACCACGTACAAGGATAGCTTGGATAAGTGGACTGCTGATTTCTAGTGGTTTATTCAAAGAACAGTTAATGCTCACATTTTAAAAAATGTTTTGACCAATTGTGTGTGCTTATATCTAGTAATATGAACAACTAATTTCAAGACAACAATATGCACTATAATAACCACTGTTGAATTCTTATCCTGTTTGGTAAAATTCTGTATTTTCTAATCTCTGTCTCTTTCTCTCTCTCTCT